GATACTTTTAAACCTTCAGCGGTACTAGTGCGAACGTAAATGCACGCTCCATATGCTCGCATGGAAGCGTCCGCGAAACCATGTAGTTCTGCCGGGACTTTGGCGTCTGTATGAAAGAATCGCGATACCTTGATCTTGGGCAGCTGCAACAGCGTTCCCTTAAAAGCTTCCTAAGATGTCTGCAGTTGCATCGGTAGCGACTCGTCCCAGTCTAACTTTCGAAGCCACAGTTCCTGCAACAACATTTTGGCCCTAGTCACTAGAGGACACAATAGGCCAAGCGGATCGAAAAGTAGGGCAGTCACCGACAGTATGTTTCGTTTTGTCGCACGAAGATCCAGGAAAGAGTCATCCAACCGAAATTGAAAGTAATCTTTACCCGGCAACCAAACCACGCCAAGGGTTTTAGTTACGTCTGAGTCTGCCGTTAGCGGCATGACAGCGCTTTCAGATGCGGACAACTCTGGGCAGTTAGAAAACCACTTTGCCAATTCAAATCCTGCCTCTTGCAATACCTGAGAAACTTCGTCTCGAAGGCTTAGCAGGTCCTCAACGCATCTGGCGCCAGTCAACAAATCGTCAACATAAAAGTCATTCTGAATGACCTTAGCGGCTTTTGGACACGAATCCTGCGCGATCTCTCCAAGCCGCATTAAACACCGAATCGCCAGATAGGGTGCTGGCGAAGTTCCATAAGTCACGGTGTTCAGCTTGAAGATTTTTAGAGACTCAGATGGATCTCGTCTCCACACTATGAGCTGAAAGTTTCGGTCAGCTTCGTCAACCATTACTTGACGATACATCTTTTTTACGTCTGCTGCAAGCGCAAACTTGTGCAGTCTGAACCGAAGCAGGGTCGAATACAGCTCCTCTTGAATGGTGGGGCCAACCATCAAGATGTCATTCAACGCGACCTGCGTCGATGTACGGCTCGAGGCGTCGAATACCACTCTCAACTTTGTCGAGGTGCTTTGAGGTCGCAGCACGCATTGGTGCGGAATGAAATAGTGCGAACTGTCTGGAATTTTATTGTTAGTGGAAGACATGTGGCCCATGGCTTCATATTCTTCCATGAATTCCAGATACATCTTTTTTAAAGAAGGATCTTTGGATAATCTTCTTTCAAGCGACAAAAATCTACGTTTCGCAACTTCATATGATGAACCAAGAGTGTTTGGGTCAGATTTGAACGGCAGACGAACCGAAAATCTCCCGGACGACAATCTTTGAGTATTTTTCTCAAAGTGTTGCTCACAAAGTTGCTGCTCAGGAGTATGGACCTTGGCCTTGGGCGGCAAGTCCTCCACAGACCAAAATTTCTGCAGGGTTGTGTCTATTGACTCCAACACTTCCTCCTGGCAGCTGAGATGTACCAACTTTTCAGCATTTCTTATTTTTTCTGAGGCACATCTCCCTGACACTATCCAGCCGAGAACTGTTTTCTGCAAAATGGGAAACTCAGGCCCTTGCTTTATCTGGCCGACTGACAATAGTTCAAAGAACGAGTCTGCGCCTATAAGCATATCTATTTTTTGGGGCTTGAAGAAGAATGGATCTGCCAATTGAATATTTTCAGGCACCCTCCAGCCGCTGGTGTTCACCGTTTGATCCGGATGATAACCAGAAATATTTTTTAATATGTAAAATTCGGACGACAATTGACTGCTACCCACTCGCGACTTGACTATCGTGTGTATTTTCTTGGTTGCTTGAGCATTAGTCCACCAATGCCCGCAAGCTCAAAACACGTCCTCTCTCTTAATCTGAAGTCTCTGAGCGAGCTCATCGGTCACAAAATTTACTTGTGAACCAGAATCGAGCAACGCTCGAGCCAAAACTAATTCGCCACTTTTTGTTTGGACGCTCACGATGGCTGTGGCAAGAATAACTCTATCCGATGCAGTCGCATGCAAAACATGCGAAGTGGATGGAGTATTCTGCAAGAGCGTGGGCTGAGGAGGAGGTGGCAACGCGAGATTTGATGGCGAATAAATGTGCAGCAATGTGTGGTGTGAGGACTTACACACCCTGCATCTTTTCGATTTGCATCTTTTTACCGTGTGGCCCTTACGGAGGCAGTTAATGCATAAGGGAGCCTTTTTTGCGAAATCGAATCTTTGCTGAACTGTTAGGGCAGCAAAAGCAGTGCAATTTCCTACTTGATGTTCTGCTGAGTTGCAAAACACACATACTTCGGGGTCGTCCATGGCAGCAACAAACGAAAAACTCCTGTTTCCATTCTTCTTTGGATAAGCCTGGCTCTGCTGAACAATTTTTGGCTTACACGCTTCTTCGGCAACCATATGCTGATAGCGCTTGTTCAGGGCCGACTCACACTCGCTCCAAAGAGGAAGCGAGGTATAATCTAACTGTTCTTCCCATTTTCTTTTAGTTCCTGCATCGACTTTGCCCATTACTAGATGGATGAGGATGGCATTCGTAATACGTTTGTCATCCCCAATGGACAAAAGAGAATCGTACAGCGCTGTGACTGTGTCGATCAGGTTTCTCAAGGCGGTAGCTGATGGCTGGGAAATCTTTGGCAGATTAAACAGTGTCGATATATTGTCAAAGAAAATTAAACAATCATTATCGTACACCCGCCTTAGGCTAGCCAGAGCTTTTGGATAATTATCCGCGGTAACTTGGAATGCCCTGACTGTTCCTAGCGCGTCTCCAGCCAAACACGATATTAGATGGTTGAATTTTTCGATATCGTGCAGCGTGTCATCTTTGTCAACAAAAGTTTCGAAAAGGCTTATAAAATTTTTAAATTCGGAATGTTTTCCGCTGAAGGTTGGAAGAGCGACGCTCGGCAAACGGCATTGGGGTGTGCGCGTTGCCGGCGGAGCGGAATTGTCAACGCTCTTACGCTTTGTTTCCGCAATTAGGGAAATTAGCAACGATTTTGCTATTATCGCAGTCTCTTCGAACTCTTCGCGGTACACATCATCTCCATCTTTCGCTTCAATTTTATTTTGTATAAGCGAAGCATTTTCGATGTGCGTATTTAGGATTTCTAATCGACATTCTAACTCAACCGTATTTAAAGAGAATCGACCCTCATTTAAATATCTTTGCGTTCGCTCTATACTCCTCATATATCCATCTCGTTGGTTTTTCAACTCTTCGATGTCCTGGTTGTTACTTTCTGATTTTGGCATTTTTTTTTTTTTTGGTATCGAAGAGTTTTAAATTTAATTTATTTTAACTTTTTTTTTTTTAATTATATGTATGTAAATGTGTACAAAAAATGTTGTTTTTAAATTTATTAAATTTAAAAATAATAACCAACGAGAGGAATAAGCTGAACGCAAGCAGTGTAGGGGAGTTATTTAAATGAATTAAGGAATTAATTTAAGGAATTTATTTATTTTTTAATTCAATAATTATAATATGCCGACCGCACGTAGTGTAGGGGAGCACACGCTAAGCTCAAACACCAAAAAACGAACAAACGTTTAGGCAGCGGCAACGCTTGCACCGTTCCAGCGATCGCAAACGAAAACGACGAAAGAGAACTCGAAAGAACGGGCTGCGCTGTCTGTCTGTGTGTGTATGTGTACGGCTGGCGGTGGTCAACGCAATGCTAACGGATAATGATGCACTGACCGATAACTAAGGGCAACGAATATATAAACCTGACGCTTAAAAGCGCGGGAAATGGCGATAAGCGAGGGAAATTTGAAGAAAATGCGCGGCAGAAAATTTGCCGGGAATTTAATTCTGGAATAATATTTTTTCACAATTCTCAACTTTTGCCTTTTTAATTTTTTGCAAAGCTATAATTGGTGTTCACTACGACGAGAAATGGGGGAATTTTATATTTTAAAAACCAGGATGCCGACAAATATTTATTTGATTTTGGTCCAAAGCGATTCACTTATGTATGTATAATTCAAAATATGTATATATGTATGGATATATGTATCAGAATTATAATCATTATTACATGCAAGTTTTATTTATTTCTTGGTTAGAATGCTCGCTATCTACCGAATTTTTCACACGAATGCAAACAGTTGAAGGATGGGCCAAAACACAATTAAAAAACGCCACAGATTAGCTTTCAACTTTTCGCACTCTATACCTGCTTGGCCAATTTGGGGCTTGAGACTTCCTTTTTTTTCCATTTCAACAGCAGCCAGAGGGGTCGGCAGACTTCCAACGCAGTTCCAAAAAACGAAAAATTAGTTGCCGTACCAACGCGAGTTTTTTTTATTTCTATTTTTGGTGTAAATTAAAATCGCGAAAATCCAAATAATCACGTCGGGGTCACCATGAAAAACTTAATACTTTTTTGTATTAATAAAATACGAGTTTTGGGGGATCTTTGACGATTTTTAATAACGACGAAGACATTAAAGACATCAGTATATTTTGAATTATATCCGTATTATTTATTGTTCCGAAGGATAAAATAGGATATATAAGAAATAGTCGTCCGGTCTTGATCGTTTCAATTAATAGACCTGGCTTGATCTCCTTGTGATTCTGAGCAATAATATATATGTACTTTGTTTGATCTCTGTCTGCTCCAAAAACTTTTGAATGAGATTGGCCCTCTAAAAGGGTATGAGAACGACAGGAATATATGAGAAAATAGTTTCGAAAGTTATTCTGGTACTCACCATGAAAAGTACGTTTGGGGAGCGAGAGCTATTCCACTATCCCTTTGTCTGATGACGTAATATATAATAATACTTACATATTTTGTAATGACTTTCATGGCTTCGATATGATATTCGTGTTAATAGATGCGCTCGCAATCATCCAAACCAGTTTTGACAGACTTTTCCCTATAAAAAACCAACTTATCCATAACATTTGATTTGCATGGAAGCATGGCGTATAAAAGTTGTATCTGAATATTTTAAGTTAGTTTTAAATGATTTACCTACAAGTTCACTCGTGCAGGGCTAATAATATTTTAACTCCGGACGTCTATGCTTTATTAATTTAAGAATTTTAATTGCTTTTTTTATGGTATTCTTTTTTAGGCTGTAGAAAATCGACATGCTATGGCAAAAGCACTTTACTCGAAAACATTTACATGGCTGGTTACGAAAATAAATAACTGTACAAATCCAGGAAAAGGAGGCGCCAAATTTCTTGGTGTTCTCGATATATTTGGATTTGAAAATTTTTCTCAAAACTCATTTGAGCAACTATGCATAAACTATACCAACGAAAAGCTGCACAAATTTTTTAATCATTATGTTTTTGCACTAGAGCAATCAATCGTGAGTATTAATGTAGACTATTGAAAGATTTGTATTTATAAAATATCATGTTTAGATATAAAGGTAAGTAATGTTTAGCGACGGACATATATTTGATATATTTTGATATTTGATCCGATTAAAACAAAACAAATAAATAAACAAAAATTGGTTACAACGACAATGGCTTTTATGCCGTCAGTCGGTTAATTTAGTTAAGTTAGATTCTAAAATTGTTCTAAAATAATTTTTTTTCTGTAATAACTGGCTTTTGTAATGAAGAATGCCAAATTCTCCCAGTTTTCCCCATTTAGAAGACTGTGGAGATCCGATTCGCAAAGGGTGGTTTTCTTAAAACATGTAAACCGAATCTCTCTCAGAATAGGGCAGACTGCAATGAAGTGTTGAACATCCTCGATTTCTCGCATGTTGCAGAGGCTGCATTCCAGTGATGGCTTGCTGCTGTATGCCCTGCCATTTAGAGGTAAAGTCTCGGTTCTAGCTTGGAAGATATATTTTATGAGTTCTCCTTTATGTTGATCGTGGAAGTAGTTTTTTATTAAATAAATTATGCTCAAGATTTTTATACACACTCCGCAACGCGCTGTTTTTGGTCTTAGTTATAAACTTTTCTCTTTCTATGTTGTGGTATTTGGTAATGATTTCGGCATGAGTCCTGCTCCACGAACTTGCATCCTAGAGATCAAGGGGGCAACTGCATTCGGTTGCAATATCCGTCCATCTAGAGAATGGAAGTTCGTTTCTTTCACAGAGAGATTTTGCAATTATTTTCGGTAGTCTACTATTTGGCATATGCATAACCTTATCGATGTAATTAAAGTCCTACTGAAGTGTGTAGGAGAATATACTAGGCAGTCCTGTTTTAATAAAAATTGCATAGTCGGGAGTATTTTGTGGCAGTCGAAATATCTTTTTTACAAAAAATGTTAGTACTCGTTCCGCATTTTCATATCTTTGATTTCCCCAAACCTCTGCCGAGTAGCACATAATTGTTTTCACTGTCGCCTGGAAAAGGCTGTACTTGGCACTCATTTTAACATTTTTTCTGCCTAAAAAGTTTTTCCAAGTTGCGTTCATAGCTATTTTTGCATCTTTGAGCTTATCTTTTATGTGGGTATAAAAACTCATATTTGTGGTAAGCGTTACACCGAGGTATTTGAATGATTTTACACGTTCCAGCTGGATTCCGTTCAGTTGCCATTCTTCGTTCCTAGCGTGACGGCCACCTGTACCCTTAACTACCATAGTATTTGATTTGCTTGTATTTATGGTGAGGTTCCATACTTTACAGTACTGGGATATGCTAGCAATCATGACCCTTAACGTTTCAGGGCTGTCAGCCAGTAGGCACATGTCATCGGCATACATAAGGGTCTTAACATGGGTTCCATTCACGGTCACTCCACCTGGTAAAAAATCAACAACATGGTCCACGAAGAGAGAGAAGAGGAGAGGGCTGAGAATGCAGCCTTGATACCACTGTTGGTATCGAACCATTTCGAAAGCTCTGATCCGTCCCACACACTTGCTTTGTTATCCTCATAGATACTGGACAGTGGTAGTATGGCTTTTGTTGAGAGTCCGAGTTGGCTAAGTTTATACATTAGGCTATTTCGGTTCACTGTATCAAAGGAGGCTTTAAAATCTACAATGAAAATGTACAGCTTCTTTTTTGTTGCAGAAAGGTTTGGTCGATTGATGTCAGCACGAAAACACAGTCAACTGTAGAGAAACCCTTTCGAAAGCCTGTCTGAAATTCACTAAGAATGTTTTCTCGGTTTACCCATGTCGTCATACGTTTTAACAGTGCTCCTGCAAAAATCTTAGCGACTGTGTTTTGAGCAGATATGCCTCGGTAGTTGCTGGGATCGGTCTCCACACTTTTTTTAAAAATTGGGCTGATCAGACTTTTTTGAAGCAATTTGGGAAAATTCCATGGCTGTAAAATTCAGTTTAGGCATCGGTAAGTCGCTGTATAAAACAAAGCGGCGCGGTATTGAAAAATTCTGCAGTTATTCTGTCTGCATCAGGAGCTTTGTTTAGTTTTAGTGTTAGGACAGCGCTTTCTATTTCTGCAAGGCTGATATGATGATCTGAGGAAAGCAGAGGCTTAGCATAGCTGATTTCTGTTTCATTTTGAATTTGGGAGAGTAGGCTACTAAAATAGTTTGCCAAATCTGTTGAACTTACTTTTTATGGGTTTTTTCTGTTTGTTCCCGTTTAATTTATTAAAGATTTCCCAGAACTGTTTGCTGTCGCGAACTTCTTGTAGTTGGCGTTCCATATTTTCTTTTTCTTTCTCTTTGCATAGACGTTTGTAATTTGTTTTTGCCGTTTTGTAGATGTGGCCCATTATTTCGTTTCGCCTTAGCTGTTTAAGGCAATCAAAAGAGTGTTTCCTGGCCCTTTCGCATTGTACGTCGAACCACGGTTGCTTTCTGCTAAAGTTTAGTGACTGCTGCATGGGTTTGGAGGCTTCTACGATTAGGTTGAGCAGTTTTGTTAGCAGTGTAGACCCACTCAGATCTTATATTTTTTGGACTCCTGATACTGGTTATCATTCCACTTTAGCCTTCGGTTGAGTTTTGGCTGGGTACTATCGACTTGTTCATGTAGAATACCTTTTCAAAGGACTTCGATGGGCATATGATCAGGAAGGGGTTGAGCACCTACCACCAAATCTTTCACCACATCGTGCCACTTTCCTTGTATGAGACAGTAGTCAATAGTCGACCTTGCTGCGCCCCTTATAAAGGCATATTCTCCTTCTTGGTCACCGATTGTCCTGCCGTTTATTTACCTGCCGTTACTGAGATTTCGTCATTAGATTTACGAATCGTGCTACTGGTCCTGAGGTCTATATTTGTGGGTTCTGTTGTGGCTTGTGCTGTTCCGATGCGAGCATTTATATCCCCAAAAATCATTAGGTTATTGCAACCTGCTGTCAGTCCGAAATCGCACACCTTTTCAAAAACTGCTTGCCAGTTATTGCAGTTAATATTTACTAGGAGTATATGTAGTTTTTCGTCTTTCGTGTTTATTTCGATGACTTCCTTGCTCGTAAAGGTAATGTGTCCTTCGTTCACCAGCAATGCAGCAAATGATCAGGAAAGTAATTTGCAAAACTCGTTTCGTCTTTGGTCAGAAAAGTTTTAAATAGTAGAAAAATGTCTAATTGTGTAACAAAATTAAACAATTTTTTAAATAATGTCTTATTTGCTAAGCCAGCTATATTGTACGATACAATTTTAACATTAAGGGACGGTACTACATTAGGGACATTTAGTTTTTTGAATTTAGTTTGCTCAATATAACTTCGTAGTCTAGGGCTATTCGTAGTCTAGGGCGCCTCCCGGCGGAGGCCTAGCATCACGCGTTTTTTAAGTCTCCTTTCGATGTTTAGATCCTGTTCGAGTGAGACTCGCGTTTCTATCAGGTTTTTGGTGTGCTTAAGGATGGTCTGCACTGCGCTTACTGTGTTTAGTTCAACCAGAACAGCCATTTTTCTGTCGGCGTCGTGTAGCTTCTTTACCGAGTCTATCTCCATACGGTTATCAACAATTCCCTCTTTATTAGGTCAGATACAGCATTAAATGGATTTTTTTCGGATTTTAGACCTCGAATGATAATGTTTTTTCGTTTATTTGCGTCTTCTAGTTGTAGAAGTCTTGCTTGTTTGTTTTCGTTGTCGCTTTTGATTTTGTTAATCTCTAGAGGGACGGTCATACCTATATATTGTGTACTTACCTGGAAAAACATCGGAGCTAAAGATCTCCGGCTTTAAAACGGTTTCTGTGAACACAATAATATGAGATGCAAAGGAAAGGCTATCAGAATACAATTTAGTGAGTTTGCTACGCAAACCTCTTGCATTCTGATAGGAAAGAAGGAGGTTAGAAGTTAGTTTTTTGAAATTGGTACACTGGTTTGGCCTCGACTATGAAGTTTTACTCCCATGGGCCCCTTCTTCTTTATCTTAGCCGCGTACTCTTTTACAAACATATTATCCGGCCAAAAGTCGCCCGAGTATATGGCTTCAAAAAGCTCGTTAGGGACAGTTATCTTGAAAGATGAAATGTCTCTAGCATAAGAAAACTTAAGCTTTTACACCTTTACACTATTACAATCGGCTTTAGTTTTGTCTTGTATATAAGACAATACATCAGAAGATGTTTGATCAGGGGAAAGCCGAGAAACGAAAATTTGTTTCTTTAGTGGAGCCACTGAAAGGGATTTTGGTGGAGCAGACATTGTTTCTGCAAAGCCAACTTGAGCCGGTTGTCCGGACTCAGTAGTCCCTTGTGGTGGTGATGCTACATTCTGAGAGATAGGTGGATCCACTAATTGTGAAACCACTACGGACAAATCGGAATTCTTAGAAGTCCCTGGTTGCATGCATTCTGTAACGGATTGTTCGGATACCGAATCTTTTTTAGCTGCTGATCTTAGCAACATTTGAGGGTTTGCTGAAATCAGCTGCTGCCGGAATGCTCTGTTGTTCTTTTGATTTCGGTTGCGGGGTGTTCCCCTTTTGCTCCTTTCCACCAGCGGGATTTTTGCGCTTAGGGGACTCTTCTAATAGCTTACGACTATTAAACTGCGATTCCAGCGCAGAGAGGAGATCATCAGCTCGGCGAAAACTATCTCTAGCAACTACGAAACAGCTAATCAGCCCCATCAGGCCGCCTTTAGTTTGGCGCATGAACGATTTCATCTCGTTCGCAACCTCGACACAAGCGTCACAACAAAACTGCAAATTGGGCCCCTTCGAAAGGTCATCACTTGTCCGGCCAGTAAAACAAGCGCACTTGGTGTGCACCATATTTTCACACAGCCAGCAAGTCATATTAGACTGGTCAGCCCTGATTACGAGGCTCCATTTTTTGCAGAAGCAGACTAAATTTTTATTATTCATTTTATATTTATTGGGACCACTGTACCAAGAAAGCAAATTGAAATTTATAAACGAGCAGTTATAAGTACCGCAAGAGCGCAGAAAC